GGACAGAATAACTAACTCTCTTTCTGGTTGAAACTGCTATTTTCATTCAAGGGAATTCTTCATGGTCATAAATAGAAGCTTCATGTAAAATGCTGGTAGCAGCTTTGGAAAAGTGATATAGTAGCAGAAGGCTTCAACTTTCTCTCCTCACCATTTCTCTCCACACCAGGAGCTGTTCAGGTCTCCTCATCAGGGCTCTTTCCATAACATGCAATTAGCCTCTCATCTAGGTTGGCTCTTCATTGTGTGGCTGCCAGCTCTTACTCTGCACTCCTGTTCTAGTGTTATTAGGAAATCAGACAAGGTTGCTATGTCCCACATCCACCTCAGCTGTGTTTGACATCAATGTGGAGACCATTTCTCTAAGAAAATACAAGAGATGTCCTTAAACTTACACTGGATGGCTGCTAATCCAGTCGCATGCTCTTACCTCAAGTAAGGGCAATCAGACAAGTTATATCAATGAACCATGGAAATCATCATGACTTGATCATTCCAATTTGATTTGCAAACTTTTCAGGAATGGGTTTCCTAGATTTCAATATTGATGATGTTACAAGCTGTTAATAACAGGCACAGGACATTACTTCTCAGTTCAGTTCATTTCACCTTTACTTCTCCCGCCACCCAAACTCAGGAAAACTGTGTGTGTGGCCCTCTGCCACTACCCTTCCCTGGGTCTGGCACCTTTTAAAGTCCCTTTCAGCACCTTTCCAGTGTTTAAACTTCCTCCTCTATATCAAAGCAGTTCAGAGGCACAGGTCTCTGCCTGCCATGATCTTCCATGACAACTGAGCAGCTCATTCAGTCACCAGAGAGTCCACACTCAAAATTCCTTTAAAATTCCTTTTCTACTTCACAAAATTTGTTTCCTACATAATTTGTCCAGCAATCTTTTAAAAACATCAAACCAATAGCTGATAGTGTACAAACAGCACAAAACAATAGTTTCAAGTTTAGATACCTTTATTTAGAGTGAAGGAGGAGTGGGATATAAAACTTAGATGAAAGCTCAGAATATAGTAAATAGGGATTATCCTATTCTTTCCTTACAACAGCCCTGTGAGGAAGGTCATTCTGCAAGAGGCAAGAAAGAGACTTGCCCAATGCTACCAAGTAAGCTTCTGGCTGAACAATGAATTAATTTATTTTATTCAACTAAGGCAACATGCATAAACATTACTAAGCAAAGTTTAAATCTGGTACCTAAATACCTCCAACTGAAGTACATCATGGATATCTGGGAAGACTGTTTTATTCACTCTCTCTTAGGAATAAGCACCACTCCCTTGGATAGCCACCTGCCTCATGTTGCCAGACAGCAGCAGGCACAAGATGGTCTTAATGGAAGGGGAGACCTTTTTGAGGCAATCTGATTCTCTATCCCAGGGCTCCACAACTTTTTTAGTCCCAAGGACTTGTGATGGTGGCTTGGAGAGCAGGGGCCATGTGCACAAACATGTACATACACCTGCACACTGATACAAATCACTCACAGCTAGCAAAGAGCCAAATGTACTAGGACCTTTTGATGAAGAGGGAGAAGGGCCTTCTCCACCTCTTCCCCAGCAATATTGATACTGACACGTCCTTCTCCAGAGATCATCTTAGAACACAGGAAATAATAATCAGGACTACTGGCAGCAATAGTTCAATCAGTTTTTGGGAAGCCACAGGTTATGCACCTGTACTGTAACAGGAGTCCACAAATACGACTGCTAAATTTCTTGCATTAAATTCAATTAAATTTAATTCTTGCAACTAGTGTTGAAAGCTATACTGTACTCTCCACTGGGAAGAAGAGTGTACTTCTTTCAAAATGGCTTTAATTTGCAGCTTATGCTGAGCCACAGCATTGGTGTCACAGAACACAGAAGGGCTGCACATGTGCACTGACTATCTATCCCACCTCCATTCTAAAACCCTCTCTCTGGGCAGTAGATATGATCACTGCATTGCACTGTCACAGAAGGAAGGAGCAAAAAAAAAAAGCCTTACTGCTTTTGGAAACAATGGTTGGTTGCCAAGACCAACTAGAATGTGTAGCCTCCCACATAGTTCCTTAAGAGAACAACTCTGCACTGGCATGGCTTAATTTTTTTCCAGTGTACTAACTTGCATTAAATGTAACATTTATTAAGATACACATTTTATCTGCTAAACCCTTTGTTTTTTCCATCCACACTCTATGGACACTGCATACATACAAGTGAATCATCTACCTAAACTGCAAAGTTTAAGATGTTCTAACCATTATTGATTTGCATGAATAGCATATGATACTCCCAGATTAGGTTTTTATTGTACAATCATCCTTCTTCATTTATGGAATTTCAAAGGCAGTCCAGGCAATGCTGTCTTCAATGTATAAGCATCCCAGGGTTTCCCATTGTTTTGGAAACACCCTTAGGCTGCAAATATGTGCCTACTTACCAAGCAGCAAGCCCCATGGAATTCAATGGGGCTTAATTGTGAGCAGGCATGCATAGTATTGCAGCTAGTTTGAACACAACCACCACCACCACCACCTCAGGTTTAATCATAAGATCTGGCTGCAGCATTTCACAATATCCACCAGATGTCAGTATAAGATGACAGATTTAGGGATACTTTAAAAGTAGTTTTTGTAGTGTGCTCTGGGGACAGATTAATGTCAGGCAGATTTCCCTAAACTATGGAGGCTGCTGACTGCTATCATTCTCTCTGTACAACATGCAACAAGTGGTGTCTATTCTTTTGTGTGCTAAACAAATAGAACAACATCTCAGTTTGCCCCCATTTGAACCAGATATGCAGCAACACACACCTGTTTCCCAGAAACTCCTAAGGTATCCTACAAGAAGGAACACTTCATCACTGTGCAGAACAGCATGATACATCATCATTAGGTATACAGTAAATATAAATACCAAAAAATGTTCTCTGAACAAATAAGTTACCAGTTTTTGGCACATCAAGCAACCAATTTCCTGTTTTTACCCTTTTCTCTCTCCTACAGTCCATAAATAAGTCAGCTCAGCAGCAGACCAAAAGTCAAATCAGAGAAAACAAAAATGAGATAATCAAGAAACAAGAATTTACTGAAACACAAAGAAACCAGGAACAAGCAGGTTGTTGTTGTTATTTTCATTTCTATAACTACCCATAGCCAAAGCTCTTTGGGTGGTTTACAACAAAGTATAAAACCAATAAAATACATCAGACTTAAAAAATCAACAAGAATTTAAAAATTTAAAATAGCAAAAAAGAGCATTAAAAGACAACTTAAAAGATCCAGTCAGAATAAAAGAAAGACACCTGACTAATTGTGCCAAGACTACAAATCTTCCCCAGGGAGATTGAAGACTTACAGGGAGATCTTCAAAGGTCTCCACAAAGAGGGCTATCTTAGCCTGGTGTTGAAAAATAGCATATTTGGTACTAGGCAGGTCACAGCAGGGAGGCTGTTTCAAAGATGGGGGGGCACCACAGAGAAGTCCTTATCCAATAGTTGCCACTCTCCAAGCCTTTTGAGAGGTTGGCATCTGCGGGAACACCCCAGAAGTTGAGTGCAGTGTCCAAGCAGATCAGGGATGGGAGAGGTGCTCCAACAGGTACTGCGGTCCCAATTTGTGTAGGGCTTTATAGGGTAAAACCAGCATCTTGAACTGTGATCAGATGCATACAGATAGCCAATGCTAGTGGACAAGAACTGGTCTTATATGTTCAAACCTCCAGGCTGCCACATTCTGTACCAGCTTCAGTTTCACTGTCTGCAAGGGCAGCCCCACATAGAGTGTGTTGTAGTAATCTAATTTAGAAGTTACCAGAGCACAGATTACTGAAGCTAGGCTATCCCTGTCCAGGTAGGGGTGCAGCTGGGCCACCAAATGAAGCTGCTAGAAGGCACTCTGAGCCACCAATGCCACCTGAGCCTCAAGTGACACAGATGGATCAAGGAGCACCCCCAAGCTGCAAACTGCTCCTTCAGGGGAAGTGCAACCCACACCTAGAGGAGATTGAACAACCACATCCAGTCAAAGGAGCCGCACACCAACAGCATCTCAATCTTGTTTGGATTGAGTTTTAGTTTGTTAGTTCTTATCCAGTCCACTATGTAGCCAGACACTGGTTTAGCACATCCACAGTTTTGCCAGCTAACAATGAAAATGAGAAATAGAACAGCTGCATGTCATCCACATAGGAATAGCAACATCCTCCAAAACTCCAGATGACCCCACTCAGTGGTTTCATGTTGAACAGCATGGGGGATAAAACAGACCCCTGAGGAACTCTATGCTGGAAAGCTAAAAAATATTCCCCAAGCACCACCTTCTGAAGATAGTCTTCTATTAGCAGAACCACTACAATGCAGTGCCCTTCACTCCCATCTCAGCCAGCTGCTCCAGGATACCATGGTCAATGGTACTGAAAACCACCAAGAGATTCAGCAGTATCAACAGGGTCTCACTCCTGGCATAGAATTTCATACAGGACAAACAAGGCTGCTTCCGTGCCAAAACCAGACCTGAACCCCAACTGAAATTGATCCAAATAATCAGTTTCATCCAAGAGTGCCTGGAGTTGACTGGCAACCACCCTCTCTAGAACTTTGCCTAGAAAATGACTATGTACTACCTGCATGTAATTGTTCAATTTTTCTGGGTTTCTTGAGAAAAGGTCTCACCACTGCCACTTTAAGGCAGCATAGGTCCACTCCCTGGGACAGCCCACTATGCAGCAGCAGGCCTGCTTTTATGTTGAGGAGGTGGCTGTTGACAATGCCAGGCCAAGTGCAGGCACTTAGCTCTGATGGACTGTGCTGGGCCTGGGAAGAAAGCAGAAAGGTGAGGCAGTTGCCATAGCAGCCGATCTTAAAGTGCCATGCAGCAGTTCTCTTCCCCACCAGCCCCCAAGCTTCCTCACCAGTTCCACTCCAGAGGTGCAGAATGCCCTGGCCAGAGTCTTCCTAATTGTCCTAACAACCTCCAAATTCACACACACTTTGAGTAATATCTTACCTTTCAGAAGTGGTTGAAAAGTTGGAATTTCCTGCAACTTGATGACATCTGGATCATTACTGACATTTCGTGATGATTGAGTCCCTTGTGCCACCACAACAATATCATCCATTTTAGCTCGATGTTTGGCTGGTGAAGGGGATGCTAGAATAACAAAATAAAGAAGCAACAGAAAGCCATATATAAGCATACATGGAAATTTATATATTCAAATCTATGTTGTTACACTTTTTTTCTTTTTCTCTTTATAGTTTTGTTTTGTTGAAAGTTCATAAAAGAAAAAAAAGACTTTACTCTCAGGCTTTTGGCAACATGTAATAAAGTTTTTAACAGGACCTGAGGTTATTGGGTGCTACTGCTGATTAATATAAAATAGCTATGTATAACAGTTACATAATATATGATATGATATGGTATATATTTAAGGCTTTTAATTTTTATAAACCACCCACCAAACATTGGTTATTGGACAATAAAGGAATGCATGCAAAATTAGGGGATATCAAATCAATCAGCCAGAATGAAGTGGCAGAATACTGAGGAAGTAGATTGAGCTGTACAAGCGCAGGCTGCAGGTCATGAATATGGAGTAGTTTTTTTTTTAATGCTCCTCTTGTTTCAATCTTTCCAGAACTACAAGGCCTGTAGTTCACAAAAAATGATTCCCTGCAACACTGCACATCCTGTTCTAGCTGTTCACTTGCAGCAACTTCACTTCTGTTTTTCTACAAAGAACATAATTTAAATATGTAATTTACCCACACCTGCCATCTAGAGTGGCATAGTTTATTCTACTATGCCATCCGAATCCTCTGAAAGTCTTTCACAAACATGTAATTCATCTACAGAATGTTTTTCTCACAAGATGCGATGATGGCCATTCTCTTTGACTGTAAAGAGCGCTAACCGGCAAGATGTGAACGCTTTTCCCCAGCACCTAGTCATCTAGGCAGAGCAAACTGGTTTGCACTGGGAGCATTCTCTCATGACAGCCCAACTGCAGCGGCACAGCCCATGCTCAGGAGGTTTGGCAAACGTGAGGGTTCCCACGAAAGCCCCGACGCAACGGCGGGAAGCGACGCCCACCTGATGTGCTCGGATCTTGAGGTCGGCTTTCGGCATCGGTACTCTGCTCAGCTCCCATAGCGAGATCACAGGTCTTCCCAGGAAGGAGTATCAGCTGGTCGGAATCGCCCGCACAGGCACGCCCCCCCCCCCCCCGTAGCCCTCTATGGCGCCGCCCCACCAAACCAAGACCGTGACATGGGCCTGGCGCCCAGCGCCTGAGCAGCCGCGCCACACACTCGTCACGCCCTTCCCGGCAGCCGGACATTTCCGGTTCCCAGGTCGGGAGAAGAGTCCCGCCCATAGGGCAGGGAGGCGGCCGCTGGGTGGCACCTTTAAGCGCGGCGTTACCGCCTGCGCGGCCGCTCGCTGCACCAATTCACATACGGCCGCAGAGCTCATCTGTTATTCTGAACGGAACTGACTCTCAACTCGAGCCGCCTCGCACTGCATCTGTATAATACCATCTGTGCCTGTTTGCTCGGGTGATTTCAGTGGGATTTACTTCCAAGTAAATGTTCCTAGAACTGCCGTTTCAGAGGTGGCTGGCCATAAGCCCCACTGGATTCCACAGAACGTGCATCGAAGCAAAGATGCAGTGCTCTGAGATCGTGTTAACTCTTACCGGGAGGTAATTCTATTAATAGAATGGTCCTTATAAATTCTAGCCTGTAGTAAATGGTTTCATGCCAGGTCATTTAAATCTGATCCAAGCAAATTCCTAGCGGTCCTTACGCAATTGCAGTCTATAACTCCTCCTATAACTTCTGGGCGGAGAAACCGCAAACATATCAACCATGAGGAAGCTAGAAGTCTTGCCATTGTGTTGATAGTCGTCGCCCATCTCATCTGAGACTGAGGAACGCTTCAGGTAAGCCTAGATCCTCCTGTTCCAGCACTTCAGAAATCAACAGCCTTGTGCAGCGTGCTCCTAAACATGTTTACACGAAAGTGAAGCCCTTCCAGTTCTATGAGGCTTTCTTCTTATTAAAAGTATAGAGCATTGCAGCCTTAAACTTGGAATTGGTAGGGCTCTGTCGTACCTTGGAGCAGCAGGAGAGAGATCCGGATTCCAGACGGTCTCTAGGATTATGGGTGGACTGCGAGGGTTAATGGCTATTGTTATTTAACCGTAACCAAAATCACAGGACATTCAGAGGCTAATTATGTTGTTTCTCCTGGAAAAGAGATCCTGTTTCTTCAACATCCTGTATTTCCAGTTGGAGAGTCTGAAAATCTTTGTACTTCCAGTGCATTCTTGTATCTTGGCAAGGGCTTTTGTGCCTGGGTGTAGTTTCATCCTGCATCGCTTATAGCCTCAAAGCATATGAAGGAAAAAATACTACTGGCAGCCTGAAGTTCAAAAATGTGCTGGTCTCTTCAAATCAGTACAGTGGTACCTTGACTCACGAACTTAATTCGTTCCATGACTCTGGTCGTGACCCAAGTCAAATTTCTCCATAAGGTTCAATGTAAATAAGGTCAATCAGTCCTGTAACCATTTTTTTAATCACAAAAATTTGAAACAAAGTGACAAAGGACAACAAAGTAACAAAGAACAACAGATCACGGCAATCCCCCCCCCCCCGCCCCAGCACTACCATGATTGTACCTGTCTTCCCTGCCTGAGTGCGCCCACAATATCTCCCCACTCCCCCGAGCACAACCACGATCGCGCCCTTGCAAGGAAGACGGATGTGATCGCGATCATCACCCAATGTGGAGTTCATGACCTGAGGCAAAATTTTTCTGAAATTTCTGTTTGCGACCCGATTTGGTCGTGAACTGAGGCGTTCGTGAACCAAGGTACCACTGTATATGAAATCCAACACCTCCTCTCCTTTGTAACCCTCTGCATTCCGTGGTCATAATATATGAAGAAGTCACATTTAGAATGCACGTCACCCGTCACTGTTTGCTAGGCAGGCTAGAAGAGCTGATGGAAGTTCTAGTTCAACAGCATCTGGAGGGCCACACTTTGTTCACCTGTGCATTTAGACAAAATCCCTCTCATGTAATTGTGTGAAGAAAAGGGACAGTGGGGTCATGCTGATGTCCTTGCAGTCCCATGACCCTTCCCCAAGATCCATGCATCGATGTGGATTTACTAGAACAGAATGCCTTTGTGCTTACTCCTACGTGAGGGTGGGCATTCACAGAAGCTGGAAATGCAATTCCATGGAGGTAAGATGTGCAGAGGTGGGAGGACAGAAGCAGCACATGGAAACTAGTAGGAAGCAGAAAACTTTCTTCAAATAAATGGAAGTCTTGCCCAAATGAAAACAAAAAGTAAAAAAAAAGGGACCACAAATTGCTATTCCACCCACTTTTGTATCATTTGCAAATGTGATTATCGTTCCTTGTACTTTATCATCTAAATCATTAATATGTTGAAGAGCACTGGGCCCAGGACTGAACCTGGTGGCACCCCACTAGTTGCCTTTCTCCAGTTTGAGAAGGTGCTTCTGAAGAGCACTTCTAGTGTCCAGTTTAGAAGTCAATTTTGGATCCAACTAATAGTTTTTCTGCTTAGGCCACTTTTTGCTAGTTTGCTTAACAGGATGTCATGGGACACTATGTTGAAATCTTTGCTAAATAAATATATCATCTTTAAATATATCAGAAGAAAGAAAGAAAGGAGCAGTTATACCATTGGACAATAATGGAATTAAAGGAGCACTAAGGGAGAGCAAGGAGATTGCAGAGAAGCTGAATGATTTTTCCATCATTTTTCATTGCAGAAGATGCAGAGCAGATACCTGTTTCTGAGCTTATGTATGTCAGAGGAATTAAGGCAGACAGTATTGACCAAAAAAAAGTTCTGAACCTTATTGACAAACTGAAAGTAGTAAATCACCCTGCTAGATAGTATCCTTCCTAGAATTTTCAAAGTACTCAAACATACAATTGCTGACCTTTTTACCAAAATATTTAATATGTCTCTAAAATCAGCCTTTGTACCAGAAGATTGGAGAATGGTCAATGCAACACCAATTTTTAAAAAGGAATCCAGGGGAAAACTGGGGAATTGCAGGCCAGGTAGCTTAACATCTGTTCTGGGTAAACTGCTTGAAAGCTTTATTAAACCAGTAAGTACATAAAGGGACAAGTCCTGCTGAAAAGCAACTAACATTGTTTCTACAAGGGGAAATCATATATCGCTAACTTATTGGAGTTCTTTGAGAGTGTCAGTAAGCACATAGACAGGGATGGTCCAGCAGACATTGTTTACTTGGATTTCCAAAAGGCTTTTGACAAAGTCACTTACCTAAACAAACTAAGCAGTCATAGAATAAAAAGTGTGTGTGTGTGAGGGGGGTCCTCTTTTGGATTACTACCTGGTTAAAGAACAGAAAGCATAGAGTGGGAATAAATGACAGTTTCTTCAAATGGAAGGATGTAACCAGTGGAGTCCCACAAGGTTCTGTACTGTTATTCCTTATGTTTCTATACTGCCCAAAGCTGAAGCTGTCTGGGCAGTTCCCAGCATAAAGTCAGCCATCCATATTTCAGCCAGCCCCAACCCAGTTTAGCATCCAAGTTTAGGCAGGATCAAACACTTCAAGCTATATGGAAGAGTAAGCAATGAAGTGGCCAGGTTTACTGATGACACCAAACTATTTTGGATGGTTAAAACCAAAAGTGTCGTGAGCTCCAAAAGAATCCAGAGGAATCTCTCCAAGCCGGGAGAAAAATGGCAAATGTAAGCAAGTGTAAAGTAATGCATGATGGGGCAAAAAACTCCAACTTCAAGTATAGGCTGATCGGTATAGGCTAGGAATAACAGAGTAAGAAAGAGATCTTGGGATTGTAGTGGACAGTTTGATGAAAATGTCTGTGGAAAAGCCAAACTCCATGCTAGACATAATTAAGAATGGAATAGAAAATGTAACTGCCAAGGTTGTACTCTCCTTATAAAAATGTTTGGTAACATAGTTTCCTCCCTCATGAGTCTGGCCTATCAGTGGCTACTAGCCTTGCTGGCTATGAGCTCCCTCCTTTATCTGAGGTGGCATGCCTGCATACATCAGTTGCTGAGGAGCTTGGGCAGGTAGAGGTCTAGCATCTATCCTGCTTGAGCAATTCTGGTGGCAGCTTGTTTGCCACTATGTTTATGAGGTGCTAGACTACATGGGTCTTTGGTCTGATCTGGCATGGCTTATGTTCTCAAGCAACTACAAGAAGGGCACAGAGATTTGCCCCATTACATGTATTGACCTCCTTCATATATCTAATGAGTGATGGGGGGTTCTAGAATCCTCTCCTCACTTACATATTTTCTTGCCAGCCAACCAATTCATGGAACCTCCTGTATGGGATTTGCTGCAGTCTTTCATTCTTGGATCTTCCTTCAGCTCCATTCTTCCACCACCCACTGCTTCCTTTGTTTCCTACTTTTCAGGCCACTTTACCACCCATTTCCTTTAGCCATCCTCCCTCCTGATCAGTCTTCTCTCTCCCTTCTGTCCATATCACACTGTATCTTCTGATCTGAAAAGAGTTTCTTCCGAGTTTTTACCTCAGTCTGCCATTTTCTCAAGCTTTCTTCTTTAGGCCATTCTTGAAATACCAAAGAGTTCAATTACCTTTTGTGCTGCCTCTTTTAACTATTGTTTTTCATTAGGTTAGAAAGATATAATACAGCTAAATTACAGGAAGTCAAGTGCAGAGTTTGTGCAGAGGCAGCAGCAGGTAGGTGTTGCTGGTCACTGACTAAGGCCCACATCCCAGCAGGGGCCCCGTGCCAAGATTTTTGCTCCTACTTCTTACTGTTGCAGTCTGTTTACCTATTTACATTAAACAAGTGAGCAATCATAAAGTAAAGACAAGGGACATTATTCTCTACCTGCCTTGCTCTCTGACAGCCATGTGGATTGTGCCTGGAGGGTGGGGACACACATGGCCACTGATGACAACAATGAGAAGGAGGTACAACCCCTGCCCCCAGAGACATCCAACTGAAAGCATCTTGTCCAAGGTTCTGGACTGCTGGCTTTCATTACCTTTCCTCTAATAATGCAAACACTCCTTCATGTTATCCTTTTTTGGCCTGTTATTTCCTCTGCTCCCTTCCCTTAGGCTCGGTTCTTCCTGTCAGCTTCACTACTCCCCAGGACATCTGCCCATGCCTCAATTAACTCTTGTATGTGGCTACCAAAGATGAAAAGACAGTTTCTTTCTTTACAGAAATAGTTCTGCATACTGCTTTGCCCTCTTGCACCTGAACATTCTGTACCACCACAGCAGCTTATCCAGTCTGAAGCCTGACTGGCACCTGTACAATACAATATTAATAATAGTCAAGTATGCTCAAAAAAGGCAGCAAACCCTGCTCATAAGTTCACTGTATAAAAAGGCAGATGGAGGTGCTCCCATACTCCTAGTATGAAAGAATTATGCAGTGCTTACGTGTTAGGAAAATCAGATTTCACATTGGGGGAAGTCTTTAAATGACTTGCCCCCATACCTGCCTGGAAATTATGATGTAGCCATAATAGTGTAGTTTTGTGTATGTCTCAGCCTTTGTATATTTTTAACTGTTGTCAATAAGGTAGAATCATAGAATAGTAGAGCTTGCATGGGCCAGTAAGGCCATTAAGTCCACCCCTTTGCTCAATGCAGGATACTGTATTGAAGCATTTCTAATAGATGGCTCTTCAGCCACCCCTTGAATGCTTTGGTGTAGGAGAGCTCATGACCTTCCTAGGTCATTGGTTCCATTCTCTATTGCTCTAATAATAAGGAAGTTCTTCCCGATAGTCAGCAAGCATGTAGCTTCCTGTAACTTGAGCCCATTATTCCATGTTCTGCATTCTGGGATGATCAGGAAGAGATCCTGGTCTTCCTTTCTGTCATAGTCTTTCAAGTATT